GGGTGGTCGACCCGACTATTGCTTGGAAACAAAGGCGAAAATATATTATGTTATAAAAACCGTCTGTTTTTCTATAATTTATTATGGCTACGAGATGAGAACATTTCATTTTAACTGGGAAAAAGTCAAAGTAGTGCGAATGTACACTTAAATGGCCGTTACTCAAGAAAACATTACCACGCAACACTATTTCATGTGGTTCATGCTGAAAATGTAAATATTACATTAATATATATATATATATATATGTATATATTTATATAAATAATTTCTCCGAGAAACAATTGGGTCTTTCATAAACGACAAAACAGAAATTTAACCGTAAATAATTTTTAATTACACTTGAAATTAAACTTATTTTGCACTTTAACTTAATTGCATAAAGTGTGTTTTTGCGAGGAATGGCAATTTATTATTAAAAAAAAAAAAAAATACCGAAATGTTTAAATTAAATTATAATTAATTAATGTAAGTAAGCGCACAACCAACTCTTTCCATAATGTGAACACTATAAAGAAGGTAAACATAACACAGGCACAATATTGTATTAATAGCGTATTGGACTGACTTTTGCATTCGTTTTTCTCAAACAAAATCACGTTTAAACAAAAAAGATTTAAAAGCTACCCCTTAATGTGATTTTAGAGATCAAACGCCTATTGCGAAAAGGCAGAAGACAACATTTGCAAGGGAACGGCCTCATACTTCACTTTGCTTAAATTATCAATCAGAGAAGTGCTTTCTCTGATTGATTTAGTAAAATAAGTTTAAAAAAATAATTTTTTTCATTTATCATATATTTATTATATTGACCTTTACTTGTAGATAATTCAAAACGCATATACCTATATGAGATTTCTTCGGAAATCCTGTTTTCCGTCTTTTATATTATTATAAGTAGTTTTTATCTCTAAGATCATTTTTTAAAGGTTACTTTTTTCTGTTTTGCGTGAACACGTTTAGATGAAAAAAAAAAATTCAAATGACCAACTTGTCCTAACTTATAATATTGATTTAAATATTTATCGTTATACTAATTTATTTTATATACATATTGTGTTTTAACAAAATATTATAATAATTATTTATGACAAAATAACGCTAAATAAAAACTAAAACACAATTTTATAGTAAAAAATGACATTTTTCATTAGATAGGTATAAATTATAATTAAGGCGGTTGAGATAAAAATAATACTACACTCTACCATTTCACCCGTCCTAATTTATAAACTTTCAATTTAATTTATACTTTAATAACTTTAATAATATATGCAAAACTGGTTACCAATATATAATGTTCATCAGTAAAATATTCTTTTACTAAGAATTTGGTAAAAATATGTAGGTACACTAATTTATTAAACTTTATGAGATATAGAATGAATTTATTTAATTAAAAAAAAAATCACTGTGTATAATGTACAGGCTTTGCGGATGCTTTCAAGTCGATCGACAAAAGATGAACTTTTATAGTTAGATAAACACTTATGATAATATGCTTGACTGGCCTCAACAAGGTCTGCATTGCAGTTATTCCAGAAATTAAAGTTCAAAAGCGGACGGATTCGAGAGAACGGCTAATATAATAATATAATGAAATGTAATCCCATTCAGACTGCGTACTAACCGGGCACAATTGTCAACATACATCTGGTGCATTGCATTTTGACCTTAATAAAAAGATTAGTCTCTCGTGCTGAGATACAGAGGAGACGCTGTGTATGCTGTACTCGACGACGTAAGACGACCTTTGTTGAATGTGATTTCAATCTCTTGACTTACAAGTATACGTCTCCTGACGTTTGTATCTCAAGACAGAGCTGTGCTCATCACAGATATTCACAGAAAAGCCCTGTATGACTGTGCAAAAGAGAAATTATTCTCAACTCTCGGAATCTTAATCTTTGAACCATTCGGTCGGGTAGTCCGATACCGAGAAACCGGCATTAACCGTCTGTTGCCCAGAAAGGGTGAAAATTGGTTATATTTTGTAATGTAGCTTATTGCCACATTTTTTCCACTCGTCTCATCATCTGAAATATTGTACATCTGACATCTGACATATTATACACATCAATAAGGCGGCGACCCATTAGCTGTTATTTTAGCTTCGATGCGAATCCAGAGAGGGTTGCAATTTTTTATTCTGACATTATTTTTTTATGATATTACCTTCATAATATCGGTACGTTGACCACACGCGGATAAGGTTTGATAAATTTCACTCGGGCATTATTATTTTTTTCTCGTTTTTAACCCATTTATTTTTTAGAGGTTTATAAGATAAAAAACAAAAATATAAACCATGTTTAAAGAAAAAAAACGGAAAGTATAAAAACGGTTTTCGAAATTGATTATTTTTGGTTAAAACTTGTCACAGGTTGTGCAAGTTGTATTCTAATAATTATTTATCAATACATTTTTACTTTTATTTATTGAAATGAAAAATTACTTAAATAGGGTTAGGTGAGGCAAGTGCGTTATTTCAAAATTAAAAACAGTTGGATACTTCTCTAACAACAGACAATAAGCAAAATATGTTGTATCAAAATTTTACTTCCAACCAAATTTTGTGAATGGCCACAATGTTAATAATATAAACACTTCATAAACCCGGCTTGATAAATAAATGTTTGGTACTATTGTATTCAACTTTTTTTATTTAATTTACCGTTTTTTAAAATTCATTATTAATAAAATATACAGAATAAATAACTGATTTCTAGTGAGTATAAACCTAATTATTAACAATGTACTTTGTGTTTTTGTCATGGATTAAACCAAATTCTTCAATTACATTAGGTACTATTTTATTCAATAATGCCACTTACCTCTAACCTAATGTTTTTTTTCATACCTAAATATAATATACATAACATTGATTTACCTAAATGTAAATGTGCTAATTTGTACCTAAGTCTTATTTGAGGTCTAAATGAAATGTTTTTTTAAAAGTTTAAATCAAAATGTTTAACAGTTAATTTTGTTAATTTTAAATAAAATAATATAAGATAACAATTTAGATATAAAAAAAAACATTTTACATCCATAACTTTATATTTTAACGCTCTTGTCCAGTTGTTTTTCTTAGGTAGTATCAAATTTAGAAGTTTATCCATAAAATGCACTTACCCCTTAAAGTAAGTGCATCACATTAAAGTTTTTTAAATTTTCAACTATTTTTATTTTCTGTTATAAAATATAAACACGTTAAACACTAAGGAAAGCAATGTTACCATTATTGAAGTAATAAACCTAAAATGTATGCCAATAACAATAAATTACTAAATTTTTTTTTTAACGCACATACCTAACCATATTTTTATTTTCAAGATTTGTCCTTTATATACTGTTTTATACATCTAAAAATTTACAATCCATTTTCCGGATTTCATGTACGTTGACGTATGGAAAGCAGGCAAGCTATGGCTCCTCCGAAAATAGGCCATTTTTTGCAAACAAGAATTAAATATTTGGTAATATCATATAGCGTTGGAAAAAAAAACATGTAAATAAAAAGCCAGCATAAAGGGGTCGGAAAGGTCACTAGAGTCATTAGAGAAATAATATTGTAACTGAAGGTCATAAAATCGTTTTCAAATAAACGTTTTAACGCGAAATGGTAGTTGTTAAAAACTATGCAACAAGTATTAAAGTATAAAAATAAAATTAAAAAAATATATGTATACAAATTTTCAATACAGAGAACCTACAAAATTATTATTATATTATGATTTTTATGACTAACATTAACTTGATCACTGTCTTGAACTTATAAAAAAAAATAAGAAATAACAACCAAAAAATCATTGTAAAGGCATATCGTGCATACGACTAGTGGAGACGATTAGGTTGATTATTTTCCAATGAAGAGAAAAAAAACATCCTTGTAAAAGCTTGACCTCAGCTTCTATTATTTATCTCTACTACAATCATATCTCAATTATATTAGGTACTTTCTTATCATACTATCCAAGTATTTTATAGTTTTTCTTATTGGAGACATTTCTCAATCCCAGTGGATAAAAAAGCGGACTGGTCGACAACTAGTTTTGGGCAGTAATATTTTAGAAAGTGATTTAAGCTTAAAGTTTTTAAGAAGGGAAAAAAGGTTTGGTATTGTTTTCGCCTGCGCACGTTATACTGAACCGCTCTTCTTAATAATAGAAATTCACATTTAGAATATATTTTTAAAACGATTAATTTATTGAAATTTTACTACAATACAATTTTCCAATTTCTGTTAAAATTGAAAAACTTATACAAATGAAATGGCAATCATATCGGCAGTTGTCCTGTGTATTCTTCGAACATTTCATTCGATTGTTCTGCATAGTTCATCTATACCGGTTAACTCGTGGGTTACAGGCCGATATGGAAACAGTAAATACATACTATAAAACGAATCTCATCGAAACTCATTCATACATTATACTACTTATAGGTTAATTATTAATTTGCGTACCTAAAATTGAGCGAAAACCAGATAGATGACACGTTACGTCCCGTTGAAGTCACGTATTAAACCTCAGAAAGGGTCGCGAGGTCGCCTGATTAACGAGGGGGTTTTTTTTTTTTGCATTTACCCACCTTTCAAAATTGAGTAAATTTAAGACACCTACGTTAAATACTGTCGCGTTGAAATTGGCCGCAACAAACTCGCGCTATACTTGGGATTTCGAGATACGGCCGGTGGCGTTAAGACGAGGCGAATTTCGGATTTCACACCCCCGCGTATCCGGGTGAGGGGGTTGTTAAGGGTGCGCGGGGGGGTGCGGGTGAATACGGTAGCCGCGGAAAGCGACGATCGTCCCCGGGGCCGTTGCGGGTCGAAAGGCGCGGTGGCGGTGGCGGTGGCGGAGACGGCGGCGGCGGCGGCGGCGGAGACCGGGTACCGCGTCCGGCCCCCCGGCGGTTTTGCGCAAGCTTCGCGCCAGTCGCTGTGGCTGCCAGGGCGCCGTTGGCCGCTGCCGCTTTCACTCCACGTTTCTCTGCGCTCCGAGCTTGACTCACGGCACACCGGGACACTCTCCTCTATCCTCTTCGTCGTCGTCGTCGTTTTAGACCATTATTTTTTCCCTCAATTATTATTATTATTTTCGCAACACAACGCGTATAGTATTCGTGTAGAGAAAAAAAAAAAAAACATTTAAAAAACCTTACCGTTTGATTAATATTTTCGTTTAAAACCCCCGTCGCCTTCGCCCCCCCCCCAACCGTACGCGAAACAGTCGCCGTTCGGAAATTCCCCTCGAGTTCCCCCGTTTTTTCTCTTTATGATTTTTTTTCGCGTTCTCCGATCATAACCTTCCGCGTTACTTCGTACTAACTCGAATTGCCAATATTATCGCATAATATTCACTGACGTTGCCCCGAAGGGCGAAAGACCTTTGAAAACGAGCCCCCCCGAATAAAGTCCCGGTCGGTAACCGTGTCGCGCACGCGATAGTAGGGTCTCCCTGATCACCACCGGCCGAGAGAAGAAGACACACACACAGGCCACATACGGGCGAAGACCACTACCGCTGCCGCCACCGTGTCCGATCCGGGATCCAAAATGGGCTGCTTGTTGTCGGTGTACAAGAAAGGTACGTTTTCTTGAAGCTTAAAAAAAAAACATATTGTGTTTACCACCTATTTATTATATATGTTGCTATAAATTATTATCGGGATATGTCGCGCGTGAACTACCGAGGACGGGAAGGCCGTTAAAGTCGGATGAAAAATTCAAAAAATATTAAAAAAACCGTTCCTAGAAGGTCACCTAGCCACGAATTTACACTGTTTTACTTATGACTACCGTTAAAGTCGGATGATAACCACGGGCGGTAGTGTATGGTAGTCTGATGGCTTAACTGATTTTGAACTTGTAAAACAAAAAAAAACTTTAGAACGATAAAAAAACATATCGTGTCCGGACCGAAACGTTCATACCGTCGCAAAAGGCACGGCATAACTATAAAATCATTTTTATAGACTTTTTTTTAGACTACCAATCGTTTGAACATACTTTTGTAGTAGTTAAGACAAAATATAGCTTACACTTTGGCATGATAACGTTTTCAATGCCTCGTTTCTGTTTTCTCACAACGGTTCACTATCTGTACAATAACGAGACAACTCCGTTTTTCTTAGATATTTTTATTTTATTTCTGCCGAACCGATCCCTTTCAATAGATCAGAAATTAGTACCCTCAGACTCGACGGGGCCGAAATGTCCACCCTTAACTTGGTAAGGGATAACTTTTAAGTATCAAATTGTACTTTTTAGGTAAGTAAAATGTATGTATCTTTGCTAAATGTCAAGCTAAGGGTTAAATATACAACCCAACCCTACCGTTTAAAAATCAAGAACAATATAAAATGTTTTATAAATTGTTAATGTAGTTTTGAATTTGCATGAAATATTTTTTAGGGTTTAAGGTCTAAAAATTAGACCAAAAGGTATATCTAGAACGGGGTAGGTATAGCATCTACAATATCCTCAAGAATCTGTAGCCAAACTTTTAACCCCCCCCCCCTACACTAAAAAAAGCGAGAAAATACAAAATGTAGTAAGTTTTTAGGCCACTATCGGCAGTCAACAGGTATCCGAAAAATATTTCCATTATGTTGTTGATTATACGGTACACGTTGTAAACAACAGCGACAGATTATTATTATTTTAGACAAACTATCAACCCTAATCGTATCCACCCTAATGCCTAAAATATGATTTTAAGCACACCGTTACCGGTGCACTGTTTTTATTGCCATTTCTGTTTTACCGTCTTCAGTTTTGCACAGAAACATTCGGTTAAAAGTTATTTGATCAAATTCAGTAATGTAATTATAATTATCTAATAATTCCCGAAGACCTCTGATACCCCCCTCCCCCCACCAATATGCCCCGACCCAACTGCGCTGGCCCCCCCCCCACCTCGTCTATTAATCTAAAGTAGGTTTTTTAACCTATTTGGGTTGAAAATAGTTGACAAGCTCTTTCTAATGAGCTTAGAATCAGCTTTCCATATCTTATAGTTTAAGGAACAATTTAAAACTAAGCGTTTATAAGATGTACCAAACGAACCCACTAAATTACTATTAATTACTTTATCTCTATTTCTGTTGGCTTTTGAAACTTAAACGGTAATGTTTATTGCAATTATTTTAGACGATCATTCCTAATCGTATCCACCCTAACGCCCCAAAATACAACTTAAATCACATCATCATTGGCATTACGATGATTATATCCATATCGGCTACAGATTAGCCAAGTTTATTCGCAAGTGTTAGTCACACTTTGGTCACGACAATAATTCGTAACCACAATAATTTCTGACCTCCCATTTCCCAGTGTGTCCCAATGTTTGTTACTATTTGCAACGATTGGCGGGAAAAACGTTTGCGTTTTATAAGAAGCGCTCACAGATGCCAAACCGATTAACTCCACTTATTTTCCAATTGCGAATAATAGCATGGTTGGAATAAAGAAAATGTATAATTTTCAGTGGCCAAGATAAATAACTACTCGGTTGAATATTTTTCACCACTAGAGTGCGTTAAGTACATTGCCGATTGTACTTACATACATTGTTTATTCTTCTTCTGCAGTATTCAATCTAATGATTGGTTTGCAGCAACTTCCATGTTTCTCTATCACTAGCCTTCCTCTTCAACTCTTGATATGAATTACATATCCTTGATCTTCTATTATCTGACTTATGTATTGCAATCTTGGTGTCCCTCTATAATTTTTTCCATCGGTTATTCCTTCTAAGATTAAATAATAGCAACCCATCGTGTCTTTAGATATGACCTATTAATTCATTTCGCCTTTTCTGTATACTCTTCCATATTGATTTGCTCTCAGATACCCTTTCTACAACTTCTTCATTAGTAATTCTATCAGTCCAACTTATCTTTTCCGTCCTCCTGTAGCACCACATTTCTAATTGCCTCTATTCTTCTCTTGCAATAGTCCACGTTTCGCATCCATACAACATAATGCTCCAGATGTACGTTTTTAGTACATTCTTTCTGATGTTAAGATCAATGTTTTTTTTAAGTAAAAAGACTTCTATTAAATGCCACCATAGCTTGGCATATTCGCTTTCTAATTTCCTTTTCGCATTTCCCATCCGAGCTTATCGTACTACCCAAGTATATACGAAGTCTTCTACTCGTTCTACAGTTTCGTAATCCTTTAATTTTATTCTTGTTCTTATGTTATTGTCTCCACTACATACTAGGACTTTCGTCTTCGGTTTGGCTTCTGAGCAGCGCCTCATAACATCTTTATAATTGTCCACCGTTTACCGTTTATTTTTGGGCACGGGAAAACCCAATATTTTATAAATAGAAACGTAGCTGTCTCGTTACCGCGCGCCGAGCCCTTTGAAATTTGATTGGCGATCCAGTTAAGCCAAACGGAAACCAATAATAATTTATTAACGGTACAAAATCCCGTCCTCGGCGATTGTGTTTATCGGTAATTGTTCGAATAACGCCGTGTGTTGGCTTTCGGCCACGAACGATTGTGATCGAACGGATCTTTTGAGCGTTAAGTACACCTTTATTTTTTTTTTGCTAAACGGTACGCGGTTTTTGGTGAACGGTATTTTGTTTTTTTAACTTTGTACTATTTCCGTCGACGAGACCTTCGGCCGGCCGCGTTGTGTGTGTGTGTGTAAATAATTACATCTTATCTCACGAGAAATTAAATAATAATATTATTAAATTAAATTCCGTCTCGCGATTAACAAAAAAAAAAAACAAACCGAAATGTATTGTCAGTGCAACAGGAAATCATCTCGGAAAATTTATGTAATCCGTTTGGTCTGAGATCCTAAAAAAAAAAAAAAAAAAAATAATAAGTATATTATATTATTATACAATACATACTTGGCGTGTTTTTCTTATGGTGCATAATTTTTTTTCTATTTCCGTTGTTATTTTTTATCGTTTAAAAGTGAATTTTTTCAAACAAACATAAAACGACAGTTCGATAGTAATTACAATCAATTGAAATAATAAATTACAACTTACGCAATTTGGTGGTGTAAACTGAAAAAAAAAAATATGATTGTTTTATTTATTATATTTGTTTATATTTCTAGATGTAACTAGCAAATCATTTTTACACAACGTTTTTATTAGCAACATTAACGTAGTATGGTTTTCTTTACAACGATATTTTATATTGTATATATTATTAGAATGTACCAATGTCTTGATAATTTCATGAACCAGTATTTTGTTTTTAAATTCATTTTACAATATTATATTTTAGCAAACATTTTTTATTGGGAAACCGTTATCAATACAATACCAACAATAATTAATTATTATGTATAATAATGTATGTATTTGCAGCAACTGTTGCGTTGTCGTTCGGCGGTGTTTGTTCAGTGGCATTATTTTTATTGTGAATTATTAAAAACTATTATACTTCAATACAAAAAAAATAAAAATACAACCATAGTTAGGGTGTAATTTAAAAAGAGGTAATTTAGCGGGGGCTTTAAATTAAAAAATTATAATCATCCAATTACAAAGGAAACGTCTTGTCGAAGGAAATTAATGATCGCCAACCCGTTTTTTTATATTGAATGATCCGATTATATGTATACAATAATACATTTCTTGGGTTGACTACTATCTTAATGTCTTGGCAGGAAGAGTGGGCAATTGACTAATATTTAAACATTTATCAAATTTAAATAGTCAAATATTATGATTTTAATTTAAAAAAAACATCAGCCCTTACCTAATTCATCTAAATTAATTTTTTTATATTATTGAATTATTGTCATAAAGAAATGATATAATAACAATTTATAAATGACTAAAAATAATATTATTGTAAACGGAAAAACAATTCTACAAGTTCATGACGTTATTAAGACTGATGTGTATTTATTATATATGTATTTATATATATTTATATAAAGTGTGTTTGAACTTTTTTGGAAATGGAAATATATATTTTCTATTTATTATGAGCTCTAATTAAAAAAACGGTATCTACAAGCAACCAAAATCCTTAGGATATATTTATAGATTGATAGTATCTTTTATCGATTGATTTCTTCTTCTCTCCTATTAATCACTATTAGCAGTCACTTTCTTAACTCCTATTGGTTTTCTCCACCTTTGAAATTACCATTCCTACCACCATTTTATCTCTATTTTTCTTTGGTTTCTTATCACCAATCACTATTTCTATCTTCATCTTGTATCTTATCAACTCTTCTTGAGTGCGACAATCACCATTAACCTCACTATAATATCTCTTGTTATTTACTTATATTCCATTTTTTATCTTTTACTTCTCATCAAACACAAATCTTATCATTATTTCATCCTTTACAATCATAGTTGCTCACGAGTAAAATTTTCTTCCAATGTTACAATTAAATACTGCACTACAAACCAAACACATTCGTTTGTCCATTTAAAAAAATGATATGTATACAAATGCAAAATAACAAGTTAAATTTTTAATGACCGGAAAATAGCTATCGATAATTATTCTCATTAATATTTTGTTTCATGTCAACTTAATTTACTAGTTGCTCTTTATCATAATCTATTTTGTCTCTTA